ACTTCCTGCGTGTAAGTCATTTTCAAGTCTGTGCTGCGTGTTCTTATGGTGCTGTCTTGTCCTCTTCCTCACATTAGGGTGTGTTTCACATGTCTCATGGCTTTCCTAACCTTTTCCTTAGTTCTGCCACAACAACAAGAAAGCCCAGAAGTATCTGCTGGGAGGTTTTGAGTGTGTCGTGAAGCTGCATCAGGTCCAGCTCCTGCCACGTGTTCCCATCATCCTCAAAGACCTGTATGACGCTGACCTGCTGGAGGAGGATGTGATTTTCGCCTGGGCAGAGAAGGTGAGGGACTTAACTACTAATGTCAAGTTAAACTCTGTGTTCTGAATCACAAAAAGAAATGCCTGCTGAACTTGATCCCATTTTGCCCAGAAATTAAAAGCCTAAAGGTGATCTGGGAGCAGATGGTAGTTAATTGTTACCCCATGAATCGGTTATGAGCACTCACTGATAGATCTTTAAAAGGGAAATGGCAAATTAAATTAGATTTAGGCTTATTCTTTGCAGCACAGAGCCTTCGTTAGAGTAACAAACAATAAAAATCTAAACTGTATTCTACTAAAAGCTGGTATTTGTTAAATTGGTGAAATTAGAGCTTGTCTTATACCCTGACTCTGAAAGACTGAAATGTTTCAGGGGACACTTGGATAAACCTCCAACCTCAGAAACTGTAGCACTGAGCCACTAAAAACATCTAACAGACTGCAGTATGCAGAGGTGTCAGTCGTCATATCAAACCTCTCTGGTAATATTGATGATTGGAGTAGCGCGAGGAAGAGGTGGTTGGAATCTGTTTGAACAGATTCATTCTGCAAATGAAACAACATGAGCTCTGTGTCTGGTTCCAGGTCCTTAGCTGCAGGAGTACGACTATATTAAGCCTTAAAAGTGTAATGCAAACAATTGCTACAAATTACATCAGCTGACGCATGATTGGGGCAGTACAGCTGAAAGTATAATGCTGCCAAAAAGTTGAGGTCAAGAGCTTTTAGGACATTAATACATCAAACAGCAGGAAGTGCAGTGGACTAGGGCCGCCTTTGACAAAGAATGAATTCACACTTCCCGTGTGTGTGTGTGGGTGGGGGTGGGTGGTAGCCCAAACTAGTCTGTTTTGTTACACCAGTCTGACCATACATTGACTCCCCATCTCCCACCACAAGTGGGGAGTGAGAGTGACACACCCAACCTGCACTGCATAACAAAAGCAGAGTGTTTGGGTCAACACATCCTTTCAGACAGTGTTCCTAAAAAGGCCATTAACAAAGAAATGTAAGACCTGGTCTTTTTAAAGGGGCTTTGTGTGTGTGGGCTGAGATTCGGGTGCACTATTGAGGCCCCTAATAGTTGTAAGTTTTGTGTGTGGCATATTTTAAATGCAATCAAGCTGGTTTAGGAATGAATAGACACAGCTGAGAGCAAATTGAATTGTAATCAATTCAAAATGTGTGAATTAAATATATTAAACAAAGAAGTGGAGGAATAGGTATAAAGATAAAAAGTGCTATTAATAAATACAGAATTACTTGAGTTTTGCTAAGTCTTTACGTCCTGAAAATTTGAGCTAGATTTCCCTTAACTGTGACTTTTGTTACGGTATTTTATTTACTTTGGATACACATTAACTGTTAGATGCTAAATATTGCAACAGCAGCATGAAGACTACAGTTCAAATAACCCCAAGGGCTTGTTTATTTGAGGTCTTTTACACTGAAATCAGTCATTGCATTAAATCCATTTTCTTCTTCATCAGGTTTCTAAGAAGTACGTCTCCAAGGAACTTGCCAAAGAGATCCATGCCAAGGCCGCTCCTTTTGTCAAATGGCTGAAGGAGGCAGAGGAGGAGAGCGAGGGTAGCGAAGAAGAGGAGGAGGAAGATGATGAGAATGTTGAGGTAGAGTTATCTGAAGTGGTCACTTGGCTGTGTGCCGTGAAGTACAGTTAAAAAAAACAGCTGCAGTTCAGGAGTTACTGAGAATGTCCAGATTAAAGCAAAAATTAATCGCGTCATTGTCACAACTGCTTCCAGCTGCCACATGTAGTCAGAGTGTGCATTATGGATATAGGTGTGTATATAAGTGAGTGCATTTACTTGTATACTTATATCCATATATGCATGCATGCACTCACACCAATCTGTCAGCCTGCTCAGGTGTGCTGCATCATTAACTGGGTCAGCTCCGCCCACTGGTTCCTGGAAGAATTAGGAATAACATTTCTAACAAGGAAGCTGCACCCCGAAAGGAGGAAGCACAAAGAGGCCAGTCCTGTGACTATTGCGTCACTCCGTTTAAAATGGATGCAGACTTTTAGTGGCTTTTTGTTTGTTTTTTGTTTTGCTCCGTACGAATATAAAAACTCCAATTTAGTATGAAAATCAAATCACTTTAATACCTGTAGACTATACTTGGAGACTGAGTATGAAACCTGCATAAAATTCCAATATTCCGTTTCACCGGGTGACTCCGGTCTACTGACACCTCGCTCGTTAGCAGCTTGAAAGTCAATTTTTAAAAATGACAGTAAGCATGAAGGTTAGAGTTGCACTAATTTTTAAAATGCGACAGATTTGTTTCTGTTGTGAGAGGACTGATGCTGATGCAGTCGGGGGTGTTTATTGAGCAGCTGCATGTTTTCCTGTCCTCAGGTGGTGTACTCGTCCTCTGCCCGCGAGCTCAAAGTGGAGACTGTGAAACCAGACACGCCAGAGAAAGAAGAGGACGACATTGACATCGATGCGATCTGAGAGACTCGAGTGATGATGCTTTTCCTGACTTGCGGCTTTGACTCACGATGCCCTGCACTAGCTAAATGGCTGGCCTTTTCCCTCCTTTACTACCTGTCCCACCACCAGCCCTCTCTGCGATCCCTTCTCCGCTTAGTGGCATGATTTAACATAGCGCTTTATCTGCTGCACATTAACGCTGTCATTTTGAAGTGTATTCAGTTGATGAAATGAAGTCGCTTTTGGGGGTTTTAATCACGGGTGATTTGGGAATTTTGTTTTGACTGCACTTTTTTTTTTCTTTTCTTTTGGTCCTTGTATTTTTCCAGTCAATAAAGAATGAATGTTTTGCTATCCAGCACATTTGACTGTTTCATCTGTGAGATTGGACAGTTTTTCTCTGGTAGGTGATTAACAGAGAATCTGAGGGGAAACCTCTTCCCTTAAATGTTGTGCTGTGAAGCCAGATGTTTTCTATATCACAAATAAAATAACATAATTGTTAAATCATTAAAAAAAAAAAAGGTGATCAGATTCATCTTCAGAGCATGATGGTGTGTTTTTAAAAATCTGCTGCAGCTCTGTGAGGGAGGGAAAATGTGCATGTGTCCATGTTTTGTAATAGGAAACCAAAGTTCAAACAACACTAGATCAACTATCTGTAACGCTGCTGGTTGTACTAAACTAAACATACACGTTCGCCTCCATGTTACAGAAAGAGACCTGGAAACTGAGAATTAATTTGCAAAGTAAGGAACCCAATGGCAGTTTCACATAAAATTTTTGAGATAAAAAGCCAGAATGTAACTGGTTTTTAATCCAGTTATACTGAGCTTTGTTTTATACCACTCTTCCTCATCTCACATTGAAATAGAACTTTGAATAAGGTGACATTGGTGATGGTGTTATATTTGCGACTGGTTTACTTAAAACACTGGTAAGAACAACTTTTGCTAGGCTGAAAAACCTGCAGACGGATGCTTTGTAAAACGAAAACTCCTTCATTACACTTGGCAGCTCTACTGTTTATTCAGTTTTACTGATATAGAGCTGCATGTCACGGACAGACTTATTATATTGCACTTTTCCAGCAGTGGAAACGGTGAACTTATTAGCTCAAACTTAAACTGTGGTGTAGAAATTCACAGCCTAGAAATCCAAAAGGTATATCTACGACCTGTAAATGTTGTATCCTGTATGAAACCTATAAGACTTTGTAAAAACAAAACAAAAAGATACTAGCGACCTTTAAAGCTCTCATTTATTCGAATTGAATTCGAAGAATAAAAGGATGGTGTTGATATTCTTTTCTGTCTCGCTAATATTTGACAAAGGCGCACAACTGTTTTCCTTTGAAGCTCACTAAATTCCCATTTCCTCCCGACTGATGACAGGCCTCTCTGTACTTCTGGTCCTGTGGGACTGAGGTCAGTCGGTTTCCTCACTTCCTCCACCCGTTCAACTGGACACAGTCGTGCTGCCTTCAGGTGCTTTCGGAAATAAGATACTCACATTCCATCACAAACAAATCTCTGAATTCGACATTAAACCCAAAACGGGGAACTTGGCGTCGTCTTAGTGTATGGAATCAAACATGAAAATAAGCAAGGCTTAGAAAAACAACTCCTTATTGTCTAAGGCATTTAACCCTAAATCCCTCCGCAGTTTAGTTTTGAAGCATCCAGTCCGACCTACAAAAATATAACTAAGCAGTAACACCTACCATATGTAATGTGTCTATTTGTAGAATGTAAACGGATTCTAATGTTTTTAAACTACCACACACACAAACACGTCAGAAACATTTATAAATGTAGCTGTTATATAACTTTATCCCACACTGTTATGGTTTTAATTTAATTAAGATAATGTGGGGTTTAAAAAACAACAACAACTAGTATTTGTAACGCAATTTCTGATTGCTACAGTTGAGTTGTAGTACTAGAAAACACAATGTGTTTTATAAGGATAATTAATACATTTTGATGTTGGTCAAATAATAATAATAACTTTGCAGAGAGACTGAAAATAATCAACAAAATATTTATTAATAAAAACAATTTAACTGCAGGCTAAATCCTATGACAATCTCTTACTTTTTATTAAGGTTGTTAAGTAGTGTATATATTGCACACAAAAGCTTCAATCTTATTCCTAAGAGAAAAAATATTTTCTTTGATCTTTCTTGAATCACCCAGTCGAACAAAGAAATGCCATTATTAGGTCGGTTGACCGACATTTTAGAATAATTTCTAATGTCGGAGCTCAGTTGGTGTCCGTGAAGGCAGCATAATCCAGCCCAGCCGCTGAGTAGCCATTTTGGTCCCACCTAAAACAGACAGACCCGCTTCACTTTGGGCCGCCGGAGATGGAAGAAACCGAGCCGACGACGAGTATTTCAGCTACCTGAATCTTTTGAATCACTCCGAGAATTATCCAGAGGTGACACTCGACGCCATGGCACGGTTCTAGACAGAGTGGTTTTGTGGAAGAAAAGCCTGTGGCGATTTTTGGAAGTGGCGACCGACAGCGCCTTAACGTTATTATAGTTAGCTCCAGTGACTCAAACCTAAACGGACAGACGGACACTGATTTCGTTTCCCTGCCGAGTTTAGCGCAGGCCATGCACGGTTTGTACACGCCGTGTAAATGCTGTAAGAGGGATTGTTATGCTCTTTAGTGAGGGTTTTTCCTGCCCATAGCTGTTCAGGTGCTCGACTCTTAACACGTCCGGTCTCGTTTGAAAATTGTCACGATCCATGCTGAGACTGTTTCTCCGGAGGAAGCCGAAAAGCAAAGCAATAATTTCATTCTTCGGCTGTCGGGCTGAAGACTGTGTATTTTGGACTTAAAACGGCGACTGGCTGAGGAAGAAGGAATAAAAGATGTCAACAAAAACTCCTTTACCTACAGTCAACGAGAAGGTGACGGAAAGTGTAAGTAGAAGGGGGCTGTTTTTTCTTGGGTTGTTTTCTTTAAGTACATGTAAAAATATCACGGGATTGCCAAAGAAATGTAGATCCTCAATAGCTTTTTGCTGCCTTGTTAGACCGGATGATAGATGGTTGTTTCACACTTGGTTGGTAAATCGTAAACAAGCATATCTTCTACGTCAAACACGCCTCTGTTAATGAGTGTTAGTAATGGGCTTTATTTGCGCCTTGGTGTGTATTTTTTGTTGGTGTGTGAGAAGTATCGATATGACTGTAGGTAATTAGACTGTACTAAGAATATTCAGGCCCAACGGTGAACAAAACTACAGTACTTTGCTTGCTGGTTCTGGCAGGCAACAGTAGTTTGTCTTCAGCCTGTCTATTGGCTCCCCCAGCTGTCGCTCAGAGGTTTCACCCGTTCAGCTTCCAAATAAGGGCCTCGTGAGTCCGCCCCTCGTGACTAACAGAACCTCCGGTGTGAAGGTAGTGACAATGTAGCCATTTGAGCTTCCGGTCGGGATTTTCAAAATTAGAATGGAACTAAAATGGAGAACTTAAGCGTACTTAATCATAAAAGCTGCAAAATGAGCATAATGTATATGCAGGATTGGTCAATTTGACTCTCCGCTATTTTTCTTAATTTCAAATTTATTTATATAGTACATTTAAATAAACAGAAATCACCAAAGGGCTGGGGTTTGTTTTTGTTTTGTTTTGTTTTTTCTGTTTGTTTTTTTTAAAGTATACCTATAGTTCTCTCCTTTTTAAAGTGGAAGTGACTATAGTGGAAATTTTTAGGCACTCTTTAATAGACCTCAAGCCTTGTTCCACTGAAAATCAAATCTTTACTACAAAATTTAATGTCCTGAATATTTTAGCTGCAAAGTTTTTATTTGTATTTATTCATTTTATTTGATTTTTTTTTTATGGAAGACTGTGTGTATCCTGGAGGTCTTTTGCAACTTATCTCCCCTACGCTTTTTCTCTGTCACACATTTACCCCCATATTCCATGGGTACAAATATGCAAGAACTACCACCAGATTCTTATGACTCATCTGAGTTGCAGTATAGAGCGGGATGGTGATAAGGGTTATACTGCACGAGAGAAGCATGTGGGTGATAAGACGCCAGAGAATTCTGGTGATCTATTATTGACCAGCAGGCACTGAAATACTAAATCAGTAGAGGCAACAGTAAATACAAGGGCTCATTTCACATCACAGGGATTAAAAGGGAATTAATAACCAGCATTTTAAAACATTTTTGTTGTAAAGTGCTGATAATTTGTTTTTGGTTTTTTTGCTTTTTGGGGGGGGGGGGGTGTCTAAGACCTTATTTTTTTTTAATATTTGTATATGTGGACAGAAATAAACACCTCATATCATTTGTACTATGTGGTACTGTGATTGGCATTTTTCTAATATCTTCATAGGCGCTGACGTTGATTGGCAAAAGATTAAGCAGTACCAAATAAAGTGTTAGGGGCAGCTCTGGAAGCGTTAAAGGTTTGTACGAAATTCGATACTGGCGTTTTCCTCCGTTTTGGCAACAATGAGAACGGAGCCGACAGGAAGCCTTTATTATGAAAGCCTATCGTCTGGTTTCCGGTTTGGGTGTGTCTGGCTGTCGCAGGCTTGACTGGGATCAGTGGCTTCCCCCTCCTGCCGTCTCCCTCTCTGTGTCTCTGCGGTTATCGGGGCTCTGAGTTGGGAAAAATCTGGTGTTGTGGGAATCTCTGTGGGCATCGTCAGCGGGGCGCAGTGCTTTCCTGTCGAAACATGACTGGCTCCCAGGGGGCCAGGAGACACCGCAGCTTTGTGAGTAACCAATAAAAAGGGACTTTTTGTTGTTGTTGTTCTTGTTTTAATTCTTACAAGTTGTTAGCTGGAAAGATAACACGATGGTAACACAGGTGGATGTTTTCTGTGTGGTTCAAAGGTAATGAAAACTTCATCTGAGTGTTTCCACTGCATTTGTTCCCAGTCTGTCTCTGGTATCCAACAGTGACCTTATCCTAGTTGATGGTATTTTTATCTCCTCTGCTATCGCTGTAGAAGTCCTAAAATATTCCTGTAGTGACTTAAAAGTATGTCTGTGCTGTTAAAGTGACCTTATAGACTAGAATAGAATAGCGCTTTATTGTCATTGTACATGTATAACCCAATTATGGGTTTGTTACTGAGAGTTGCTGTGTTGTAACTGCTCTGATACTTTTTAATACTCTGCAGTGTTAATTAAGTTTTAACTGACCTTGCCTTGATATGAGGTGCAATCTGTGCCCAGTTTCTTAAATGCTTAATTTTGCAGCAACTACACGTCTGTTTAATTTCCCACTTTATCAGTGTCTCTTTCTTTTGTCTGCTTAGTGAAGGGGGTCAGCCAGGTTAGGGACTGTAGGGGATGGGGAGAACCGGGTGGGGCAGAGTGCATCACTACCCTTAATTAGGCTTTGGTAAGGTGGTCGATACTGAGGCCACACTTAGTATCTGCCAGATTGTTGTTCCAGTTTTTGGGCACAGCACCCAAGAATTGATCCATCTATCAGCTGTGCTGTCAGAGTACACCACCTCAAAATCACAAGGCTGTGCAGTTTCTCTTTGATTACATGATAACGATGCGGGGGAGAGTGTGTTAGGTTTTCTGTTTGTTTGCTGCGTTCCAGAAGTATCCCGAGCAGAAATGTGGTTATCCAAAGTTTTACTGTTGCAAAATCTTAAAAGCTTGGTGCAGTGTAGTCCAGTTAGCCACCACATGCTACTACAACCTGAATAATTAAAACAAAGTTTAATCTATCTGACAATCTCAACAAAAACAGGAAGTCACCGCTTCATAAAAGCAGAATTTCGATTTGGCTAGATTATTTTAGATTTCACAAGTGTACCTTATAAAGTGGCCTGTGATTACTTATTCCTGCAAGACTGATGAGATTATTTTGTTTAAAAAGTATTGTAGAATTTTTTAAAATTGCTGTCATAACATTGTCTGTTTGTGATACATACAGTGGCTCTGCTTTAAAATGAGCAATGTGAATAAAATAATTTAAATTTTTTTTTTCATTAAGACTATAAATTGTTTGTGGAACACTTACAATTTGCCCTGTAATCCTAATGCTTACAGGGCACACATCATGATGCTGCCGCATGTGTAATCTGGTGTAGCCTCTAACCAAGGAGAACGTCCCATCTCTGTGCAATTAATGTCATTATTGTGTTTTATCACCACTTTTTTTTAATCTAACACTGTGAACCCCTCTCCACTTTGTACTCGACAGCTCAGCGTGCTCATACAGAGTCAGGAAATGTGTGTAGAGGCACGTTTCTCCATCACCTCACTTCTGTTTTTAAAGTGGCAGTTCGCAGGTTTGAGATGGCACCTTGTTAACCCAAAACATTTATTAGAATGAAAATGTATGAAGAAAGAAGTCGACTGGAATTAAATGACTAGTTGATCAATTGCGCTCAGAGCATATGCAGAGCTTTGTGTGATTGTTGTATGTAATCGCCAGCAGACTGAGCGGTAGAAACCACCATTGTTGCCTCCCCCCACCCACATGTGCTGTGTTTTCCATGACATCTCTCTTTTGCTAGCCTCAAAGTCCTGACATGAAACTTTGACCAGGTGAAAACATTGGCAAGAAAAAGGAACACTTTTCAGGGTATCAAGGGTTAGCTTCAGCTAGTTAGCAGAAAACGCCAAATATTGGTGTGCATATTGTTTAAACTGTTTTAAAAAGAAGTTGCAAGGAGACGTTGTTGGTTTGCAGATTCCTCTCTATAGTTTCTACCACTGGTGCTGTGGTAGCACTGTGAGAAAGACCCTTATGTTAATGGAACTGTTGTATGCCCATCAAAGGATATGCTACTTTTTAGTTTTAGTTGATTGATAAGGACATTCTGTAAGCATGTGACAAAGCACTGCATTGGAACAATATCTCTAACAGTGAATTAATGGGTAGTTTAGCAGCTTCTACCCCTTGCCCACCCTCCCCAAAACAATAACAAATAAATCTGTGTCCAAGGACTTGATTAAGTGGCCCTGAAATTCTTGGCCACATAAACAAGAAGCCAAGTGACTGTTATGTTCATCTCTTAATACCAAATTATAACTAACAGCCTTGTCATGCTCACAATTTACAAACTTTACATGAATCTAATTATGATTTCAACATATTCTATCCATATTGACATTATTTAAAACTGATCATGATGTTCATATTTCATAGTTTTGGAGAAAATGCAATAATTAAGTTGGTTTAAAGAAGCATCTAAAAGGAAAGCAAGTAGTGGTGTTTGCTATGCACCAGTGGAAAAATGTGGGGGAAGGCAGGTTTGCTGCAACCAGAAAATGAAAATAGGCTTTTCGAATAAACGTAGCATGCAAGCACTCAAACATGGTGATGCATAAACCTGTTCAGTGCACTTATGTGGACTTAAACCTGTAAGGAGAGACAGTTAGTGGTGCTGGCATTATCCACATTTGGCTTTGTGCATGGTCCATAATATTACACATTTCAGTGACGGTTGAAATTGATTTCTTTTTTGAAAAATGCGATTAATGGGTTCTAATGTCACTTCAATATAAACAGTATTTAGTGGGACAGTATTTGACTAACATTATTTAGCTGGATCTTGTTCAGCTAATATAATAATATTATTATTATTCATGGGAATATCTGTACTTTTGGAAGTTTGGTTGATGAAAGTCTGAAACTGCTGGGATAAGCACAGAGTTTATCAGCCATCTGTGGCCGCTGGAAGAAAAGCTTACTTTCTTTGTGTGCATCAGAACTATAAATATCAGCAGTGTTTTTTTTCCTGCTGAGCCGAGGTGCCACAGCAGGTCAACATGAGTCACCATTGATTACAAGTAGATGTTGCAACACATAAGAGCCATTCAACAGCCAGTGCTTGTCTAACATTGTGCCTTTTCCACAGCACACCTCTCACAGCAATGGCCGTCAGGAGATCAGCACACGCTCAGGCCGGACGGGCGTGCGTCCGGCCCGCAGCTCCGAGGAGCCGCAGCAGCCCCACGTAGGCAACTACCGGCTGCTCAAAACCATTGGCAAGGGCAACTTTGCCAAGGTCAAACTGGCCCGACACATGCTCACCGGCAGAGAGGTAAGATGTACAGTGATGCTGACTATTTTTGTTCTCTCTCTTTAAGAAAGGATCCAAAACAGTACAAAGCTTTACAGATAAAAAGTTTTTATCACTGTTTGCTTCTCCCTCACGCTGCGAAATAGCTGCGGTTAAGGAGCTGGATGTCTTTGCTGAGCTCACACCTAATTTGTATCTCAGTTCCTCTTTGATGGTGACCTCTTTGATGGTGTTTGTGTGTGGCAGTGTCTCACAAACTGTCAAGCACTAACATTGAATGTCTGGTCAGATTTGTAATTTTGCTTGCCTGTTTTTTAGTTAGATTGATCCTGATTTATAATACTGCTTTTAGCTTTAGTTTTTACAATTTAGAGACTTGAAATGCATTTTTCATAAATGTGTATGTTATTGAAACATTTGGAACATAAAAGCAGTGCTGCCAGCTTTGTACACCAACCCATTCATCGCTGTAAATCTTGTAGGCAGTAATGGTTGTTTTCAGTGCAGTGTGTAGCAGCTGAACATTTGATTTGTTCATAATTGATGAGGAGAAAGGGCAAGCTTCTTCTTAATGCAGCCTGTGACATTTAAGGAAAGGAAGCGTCTCTGCTGCCTTTGTGCTCTCTGTTCTGTAGATAATAATTTGGCAGGTGCATTTAGACATATTTTTAACTCAAAGAGGATGTTGAAACTATTTTATAACCCTCCCTGTTAAGTTTTCAAGTCTTAAAACGGCAGTTTGGAAAAACATCAGCATCACGTTCCTTTTCTCAGCTCTTTTCTTTCTCGTTTTTGGTTTTTGTTTTCGGTGCCATGTTCCTCTTCCTCTGTGCCACACTTCTCCTCTGCTATTATTTGCCACTTAGCTAACTTTCTATTTTTTCCCTCTCTACAGGTGGCAATTAAAATAATAGACAAGACACAGCTGAACCCAAACAGCCTTCAGAAGGTAATTTACCCCTCCTTCCCTTTCTCTCTCTCTCTCTCTCCTGTTATAATGTGGCAGAACTCATTTACTAATTCATGAAGCACAACAGATTGCGTATTAATTGTGTAAATGGGAAGCAGGGCATTCTGAGACTGAGCTATGTTCTCCATAGAGCTTCCTGGGGTGAATTAGGAGCTTCTTTTTATGATTAGGTATAAGGCTTTTGCTGCAGTAAAGATCACTTTGTTCCAAGTTGCCTGATACATGTTTCAGACTGAGGCCTTTAAAAAGGATTGTATGGTTTGAGGCTTGTTTTCTTTGCTTTTGAATTTGCTTGAAGAATTCTTAGTGGAACTGTTTTAACAGGCTTATAAGATATAGCTGTAGATTTGTCCCATTTGAAGGTTTTTAGGTGGTTTTCCTGATCTGTTGGAAACAAACAGTTTTTTTTTGTTTGTTTGTTTGTTTTTTCCTCCCGCTACCTTTTCCCAGTTCATGTTGCATGGTTGTCATGGAACTTGGGAGCCACGGTTTGGTTTTCCTTGTTAAATCAACCAAATCAGGAAGTGGGCTTTCTTTTAAAATGCAAATTTCACAGACTGAGGGTGAATGCCTTTTTTTTTTTTTTTTTTTGCAGTTTAGTGAATGGCAGTCTAACTTTACAGTTTGAAGTCAGCGAGTTGAGAGTGAGCTGCCTGTTGCAGTGTTTGTCCTTTTCCTTTTTTGTTTCTAATCGTTAGCAGTAGAAATGTGTGTGCGTGGTCGTTTTGATCTGTGCCGCCGTGAGTTTTGGTTCTGTCTCTGGGCCTGGAAGTGGTTTCGGGGAAGTCGGAACGATATCGACTCTGCTGCAGCTCCCGAGGCCCTTTTTTCTTTTTTCTCCCCCATCGTTAGACAGATAAGAGGAGATGAAGCGGAGCAATGCGGCTGCAGCTGGTGGTGACGCTTATGATGTCGGGTGTTGATGTTGAGCTGGACCCTGCTGCTCGGCTCCTCTCTCCCTCATCCCTCTCAGCAGTCGGCCAGTGGTTTTCCATCAGTTTTTCCAAAGCTCCATTGATTGCGGCCTTTGTATCTCAGAGGCCCGGGCCCTTTGGCGTTGGCTGTGACACTACGTTGACAGAAAAACACTGAGTCATGACAGCGCTGTTCACAGAAACACAAAGCGTGAGGCTTTTGTTGGCAATCCTTGTTGTTTTTAGGTTACTGCTTTGTCACACTCAAGAATAAAAACTCTTTTAGGTGCTTGTCAAGTTATTTTTCCTACTGTTCCACAAGAGATTTAGATTTATTTATTTTTTTACTGTTTATTTTAAGCAATTGGAACGAGCTGGGAAAAGAAGCCACATTTAAAGGCTTTTTAAAGTCTTTTCATGACTGACACATTAAATGTTCTCATTCCTGTCACCTGATGCCATTTATAGGCTAACTTTCTCGTTTTTTCCCCACTTCTTTTTTTTGTTGTTGATTTTGAGATTTAGAGTTAAAGGAAATCCTGACTTGGCCTAGATAATTGGAGCAGTAATTGGGTGAGAAATGAATCCAGCAAGATTCATAATAAGGAGGACCACTCCTGTTAAAGGAGTCATTTTTGGCCTAACCCTAACTCTTTTGGCAAACTTGAAGCTCAGCCATTTATACAATAACTTAGCATAAAGAATGAGGATGGGGGAGATGCTGGTTCCTGCCAGCTCCATGCTAACAGGACCTTTTTTTTTTTTCTTTTAATGTATTAGACAATTAGAATATATTTAATTGAGCCATAGCAGGCCTGGTAGTTGCAAGGGTAGCTGTTTTCTCCTTTTGGTCCTTAAGCTAAACTAAGCCACTGTGTTGTAACCACATTTGTAAACCAGCTCACAACTGCATAAGACGAGGGCTTTGAAAAGGTAATTATTGTATTTTTTTGTTTGTTTGTTTGTTTTAACCAATCCTTCAAAAACAGTAAAACCTAGTGGATCATTAGACTTAACACCACCTACAGAAACAGATGGCTGTTTCTTTGGCAGCAAGCGAGCAGGGATCTAGGTGAGCACGAAGAAACGCAGTACATGTTTATGTCACTGGCCAGTGTGTGTGTCATCAAGGTGTTATTGTTTTTTTTGTTTGTTTTGTTTTTTAATAAATATATCTGGCTTTCATAAGAGCCAGAATATCCTCTGTTGTATAGTCGTACTACACAACTAATTTGTTAACTTTAATTATAAGTACTGTGCTCTGTTGGAGGTTGCTGAAGTAGTTCATTTTTAGGAGCTAAAAGTCATCCTAGGCTGATGCCCAGCTCTTCCTGTCAGACATGCCTGGGCTTGTCTGGTCATGTACTATAGTGAGTGTAATTACATGGGATTGCTATAGTAATATTCACTATAACACTTTTATATCACACAAAAAAATCATACCGATGTTGTAAGGAACAACGCTGGGAAAAGGGTGGAAAAGGCACATGACCCTGACTTGTTTGGATTATTGCCTACACCATGGGTGTCGAACTCCAGACCTCAAGAGCCGGTGTCTTGCAGGTTTTAGATCTCACCCTGGGTCAACATACCTGAATCACATGATTAGTTCATTACCAGGCCTCTGAAGAACTTCAAGACATGTTGAGTAGGTAATTTAGCCATTTAAATCAGCTGTGTTGGATGAAGGACACATCTAAAACCTGCAGGACACCGGCCCTTGAGGCCTGGAGTTGCCCACCCCTGCCCTGCACTGTGCCTGCATTTGCACAGAAGGACATCACAAAGAGTAGAATATGGTGTCAACTTTGTAGCTGATTTGTTGCACTTTGCTCCAGAAATTTGCATTTAAAATGCACCTCTGTTGGAGGTATCTGTAAAAGTTCACAGTGATATTTCTTTAAAAATCCAGAGGATGATTTAAATGGAGCATCATCATTAATCTCACAACTGACTCGCACCATCTGACAGGAACCTGAAGACTATCCAATCTAAAAGTACTGTTACATCCTCATCACCTGTGCTGTAGTCGCAGCAGTTTTATTTCGCAGCTCCTTCTTTTCAGTAGATGAGTCATAAGTGAGTTTCTTTCAAGAACTGCTAACATCCGATAACTTAATCAAATACACGGACTGAAAAATAAAGTTCCTGAATGTGAGAGCATGTTATCAATGACATTACAAAATGCCACAAAGACGAATCCACTGCTAAAGAGATGCATTTTAGTTGTGAAAATGAGTGTTATTTAATGTAATTTGTTATGGTTTTTGTGGACTTGCTTATTAGAGTAAAGTTATGTGTTTTTTAAGTGTTTACTTCTGCAGTAGTAACCAATGGGCACAGAGCCACAGACAGCCTGGATGAAGATTGAAGGGGGTGGGTCTTTTCATTGGCTTTGTTGATCATGAGAAAAATATCCAAAAATGCCAGCTGAATCTCTTGAGTATTTTAACAGCCGACTGTCATCACACAGCTCCAAGTTTGTCAATGTGATGACGTTTTTCGGTTCAGATGGGTTTTGAATGTCTGGATCTCTTCTATTTTTCTTTGCACAAGTCTTACCTTTGAGCTGGTGCTGGTGAAACAGCCAACCTGCATCAGAGCCAGCACCGCTGTGTCCTGACCTCTTATGTAACTGAAAGACTTGGCGAGAGGCTGATAGCGGAGGGGGTGGAGGGGGTGTATCGTCTCTGAAGCCTAAATGTTTATTTTCAGCCTCTGTTCTTAATAGTTTGGCGGAGATGAGTCGACATTCACATCTGTCACCGGCTCCTGGCAAACTGCTTCCAGCTTCCCGCTCTGTTCTTGTCTTTCTGTCCTGATTCAACCTGCTGTGGTGGTCTTGTTATCCTTGTCAGGGGTCAGGGTGGGAGTATGATGCTTGGAAGTCTTGATTAAATGTAAACAGTGTTGGTAAGAAGCTTAGTCTGTGACAACGTCCAGTGTCAGGTTTGTTTTTGCCTTTAGTGGTTGGAGGATTGTTATTAAAAGCTTTTAACATGACGTTTTTTCCATGAAATTTTTCCTGAGCTGTCAGTAAGACTTAGTTACTGGCACTGAAGAAGAATCAGTTGGATGTTAAAGAATTTGAGCCAAATGTATGAATCAAACTGGTTCACATAAAACATTAACAACAAAACCTCATAATATCAAAAAAGTAAGAAATTTCTTTTTTTTAAGAGAAAGAAGTGCCTTCAAAAAGTTACTTGGAAGAAAGTTTTTTTTCCCCCAGTATTGTTTTATTTGTAGGTTTTCAATCCTCAAGAAAACTATCTTAGTCACTTAAGTGTTTACATAGTTTTAGATATTGGGAGCTATTAAAATGGGGCGATCGTGGCTCAAGAGTTGGCAGTTTGTCTTGTAATCGGAAGGCTTCCGGTTCCGGTCTTGTCCTTGGGCAGGACACTTCACCCGTTGCCTACTGGTGGTGGTCAGAGGGCGCGGTGGTGCCAGTGTCCGGCAGCCTCGCCTCTGTCAGTGCGCCCCAGGGCAGCTGTGGCTACAATGTAGCTTGCCATCACCAGTGTGTGAATGTGTGGATGACTGAATGTAGTGTAAAGCACTTTGGGGTCATTTACCATTTAAAATGGAAACAAAAAGTAAAACAAAGTTTTTCAAAAGTAGCTCCAAAATTGAACCAAAAGACTCCCATGTTAAAACATAGTTTTAAGGGCGAAGCTAGACTTATCAACCATTTTTTTGTAGATCCAAACTTCATCTACAGATACAGCTCATTTTAATAATAACCTAACACTATACACTCATGTCCAAATATGGTCACACGTGGCTCCAGGAACCAACATGGTGACGATCAAAATGCTGACTTTAAATCTTTAAAATGGCACTTAGCCACCGCAACATAAGCCACTGGTTTGTTACGTCCTTCTTTTATATGGAGACTAAGGAAAGAGAATTGGAGAAGCCAGTGTTCAAGTTTGTTTTTACCACTGGTGACTTCTCTGAATCTCATAAACATGGTGTGATAGTAGCCATTAATTTGAACCATAGTGTTATTCCTTCAGGTTAATTTGTTTGCCCGGATGAAAACAATAACCGTGGAGCTTTGGAGGGACAAAATAAGTCCACTGAGGAGGTGAACTTAACAAAACACAGTAAAGTAAAACTGCCGTCGGGATATATTTTCTCTTAGCTGAAGTAAACAGCCGGGGTCGATTACTGCAAAAAGTGCACAGACATCCATCGTTCTTAGCTGAAGTTGCAGGGGCTGTAATCTGATTTGATATGACTCAGCTCAAAGCGTCTAACCTGGTGGGAAGAGAGTTTATAAAGAAAACATCCAGTAAATGATCTAATGTAGCACCCGTGAGATTTTGTTTACAGGCCTCAGATCTGTTTTAATTGAGGCTGTTTCAATCTAAACAGAAAAATGCAGCAACTAAAAATGTAGTCTGACAAAAACTAGTTTTAGGTGTGACTTCACCCTCGAATTGTGTGTCATGTGGCCTAAAGGTTCCTTGTATAGATCATAAGATGGATTGCGTAATCAGGACAGCTGTGCATTATTGCAGCGGCATGACTGGATCACCAGCAGGTTTGAGTCCTTGACCTAATAGCTGTATTATGTGGTGAATCAGCCCCGTCTCTCCAGAGTTTTTCCACTAATTCTGTTTACTGCGTAACATACCTGACAGAGTATTCCCATGTACTTGTTGGCGTGTTGTGTTTAGAACCCACCCAAGTTTCAGAAGGCTTGTATATGCTATATAGGACAGCACAGTTTGTACCGAAGTCTTCACAAAGTTACACAGATAGAAAAGATAAATTGAGATGCTTCTCTGTCGCTGATGAGGTTGTTCAAAGCTGCAGCAGCTTCTCTTCAGTAAGAAGGAAAGAGTTCCTCTCTGAGCTGCAGTGAAGAGGTTTCCACTGTCACACAGAAAACCAGCTTAGATTTATTCCCCTGTACTTTCAGAGAGCTCAGGAGAGTATTTTGAGTATAATGACGGGCAGATCAGGGTGTAATGACAGTGAGGAGACCTCAAGCTCACTCCAGTGCTCCTCTTCCTCTCGTCATCTTTGTCAGAGGCCAGACAACTCCTGGATCAGTTCGTTTTTCTGTCTTTTAATTTTTTTATTTTTGGGGGGCTTCTCAAAAAATAAAACTCCTTAAGGCCTCACTAACTGGAGTTCATAATAGTCCCTTCAGTTGTCTCTGAGCAAGGAATTACATGAAACTTATTATCCAAGTCAACAACTGCCCACAGCTGGAATTCTCTACATGATCTGAACATTTAAAATTACTGTTAATCGTTTGTTTTTGTTTGTTTCTTTTTAAGTATAGGGGATGCAGAGTTGATAATAGAATGTATTCTTTCTGAAATTGACAAAAAAGAGAGCGAATCCTTTTAGATGTAAATAATTAGTGAACCTACTCTGTAGTCACCTGTGAGAAACCTTTATTAATATTTCAGATCTTATTATCCAAGATATGAAAGGAAAACCAAGAAATCTTGTAGGGGAAGTTCTAACAAAGCCGTACTTGGAGCGTTTACATTTTCTGTGAACTAACAGGATTAATAATAGTCAATTATTCAACAACTGGATAAATATTAGACTTGTGATGCAGAAGTGATCATCTGTGGCAGAAACTGTAATGACTGAATGATGTATTTTTACAGTCACAATTTCTGCTGCTATGGGTAACTATGCAATAGGTGTCATTGATACAGTGCACCATGTTTTGCCACCTTACAGTTTTCAAACTGGACTTCCTGGTTCATATTTCATGTTTCATTGCCTCTCTGAATTTTCAGCAAAAGTGATGCTATAAAGGATCCTTTATGGTGCTGCTGAAACATTTCTTCATTTATGGAAAAGATGACAGTTTTATGTAATGAATGTTTTATAGGTTTCCACTTTTTAGCCAAAAAATCTAAACGCAGTGGATAAATCTTTCCTGAAACATGTACTTCTTCATTTGATTGAAGACTTTTTGTGTTTTCGGGCTGTCCAAGATCTGTTTGTCAGCAAGCGAACCAGCACATTGGGACTTCTCCTGCCTCATGAAAGATTGATACCTTGTTTTATATTTTTATGGAAGAGAAGAAAGTGAGGTGTAGTTTTCAGCAGCTCAATAATAAATCCCATGTGGTGCTCTTTATGCCTCCTAAAGAGAAACACTAAAAAGGATTTTTGGCCACTAAAGATCTCCTTGTCTGATCACTCTGAAGCATAATGAGGAAGCGTGTCAGCTAAGTGTCTTCCTTTTCTGAGGGATGGAGATCTGACACCACATGTTGAACTTAGTTTGGATTACCTTTGCCCCTCAGTGACTCTGAAACCACCACTATGTTGCAGAATTTCCTGTAATCCTGTCACTGTGTCAGCAGCAGCGACATAATGACCACATTTCTTTGACAAATATGCTGAGGATGTTTAGTAGAGACCAGAGCTTGAAATGCCATGTTAGCACTCAGGAAAGCAGTGTTAATAATAGTTTTAAAAAGTCTTAATATATTAAGAATGGTCACACATTTTGAGAATGTGTTCTTAAAAATGTGTTAATGCATAGTTTGGGGGGCTTTCAGAGCTTTTCACCCCTCACTATATGAACAAAACCAGTGAGCCACATCTCTTAAACCTATGCCCAAATAATCATGTAGTTGCACCAGTTTGTCGTCATGATTTAACTCTAATGCTGTTGTCGTGTGTCTGTGTGTGTGTGTGTGTGTCGGGGGGGGTGTGTGTGTGTGTGTGTGTGTAGAGATGTGGAGCAGATATTTACCAAGAGGATAGGCAGGGGGTGGCGGCGGGGGTGTGTGTGTGTGGGGGGGGGGGGGAGCATTGCACAAAGCATAACGTTGAGTAAAGACAGGTAGAAGACAAGATGGCTTACTTGTGTTGTTGAGAACTCCTTAGCCTACTGTAAGTGTAGCAAAAGCTCCCAAACAAGTGCTATGCTCTCTGAAATAAGACAGGCAGTCTGTGACTGCAGTTGGACAGGTTGCATGGAAGCTTTTGATTGGTTCATGTAAAACCTCCTGCCTCCCCAAAGCAATCAGCCGAGGAAAAACATTGCAAATGTTTTTCAAAGTTTATTCAGAATGTGTTTATCTCCTGCGCCTGTGTAATGACATGGCATGTCTGTAGCCTGCTATCTAAAAATATTTCTTAAAAAAAGCATTTGCACTGAAACACTTTGACATGAAGCCTCTGTTTTCTTTGCTTTGAAGTTGTTTTGTCATGAAGAAAAGGGACAGGTTAACTCACACAGTCCACTGGGATAGTCTGACTTCATGCTGACTCCCTCATGAAAGTGCTCAGTGCTCAAAGACATACAGCAGCTTTTATTATTGTGGTTTTTATCTTCTGAGGTTGAATAATGTGGTTTGTTGCTCAGACTATTTGCTGTCTATATGCTGAAGTCTAAACTCTGAATTTTTCTAATTTTCAGCTCTTCAGAGAAGTTAGAATAATGAAGATCTTGAATCATCCCAATATAGGTAAGTGCATCTTGTTTAGAAATAAGAATTTTAAGTATATGAGCTTTATAATGACGAGGACGACTGACATGCAGGTTCAACCTTTGGTCCTTTCTGTTGGTGGACATGAAACAACAAGTTCCTGCTATGCATTTTGTCATTGCTTTAATTTCCCTTGTAGGATCAATAAAGTATCTATCTAACTAGATATGACTCGTTAAACTTTTTACTTCTACATGAACTGAAACATAAAAGAAGTCAGGAGATTTGAGCAGATGGATTTGTAGCATACATGTAACAAGCCATCTAAAGTACCAGGAACATTTTCAGTAACAAGGTCGAAGCCTGCATTCTTGGCATTTTATAAACTGCTTGTGAAAGAGAAACTATAAAACAGGAAGCTGTCCCAGATGACATTCAGACTTTACTACCTTCATCTGTTGTTAACTGCCGGTAATTGAGGCTGAAACTGGAGGACCGTTCGTCCCGCTTTGTTTTGGAATCGGAGTATGATCGGTAAACAAGAGAGCGCATGCTGCTCGGAGCCATAACGAACGCTGGAAACACTGAGTCGTCTGCGAGAGCCAAAAATGCCAACAAACGCCAAACCACAGCAACAACAAGGAACCTACATTACAAACAAACCTTAGCTGTGGAGCGCCTGAATATGGAATGTGTAGCCACAGGAAAGCTTTTGTGCTGAAATGAATAATTAATATTATATTTTATCTTCATGAATTATTCCAAAAAAATGTAAGAAAAATATTTTATCCTCAGGTATTATAAAGCTTACCAAAAGTCCTATTGATGATGACTTTATTTATATGTACGTTTTAGAGGAAATACAGATGTTGCCAGTGTAGCAGATGATTTTTAATGGGGGGAAAGTTTTTGGATTCATTTTTTTTCCCCCTTCCTCTCCTTTCTTTGTATTCCCCTCAACTCTGGTAATGTTTCTAGGCATGAAAGTGCACTTATATGTACTATGACCATATAAGTATATACTAGTAAAATCTGACAAATTTATTTGTCATGAAACAGATTAGAGAAGTCTGCCATGGTGCATTTTGTTCTTGAAATGTGAATTTCCTGTTAGTTTGGTTTTTTGTTGTTTTGTTTTTCCCCCATGTCCTCTCTGCTTGAGTTCCTCTACAAAAGTATAATAGTAATTATCAGAGTGATAGTAAATGCTATCACCAGCCCATAAACTCTCTCTCCCCTCCCGCGTTCCCTTTGTTTTTCATCCCACCTTGTCTATATTTAGCAGTGCAGCTCTCAGCTGCTCGTCACAGTCCTTTATATCGGTGAGCTACTGCAGTAAAAGAAGGAAGGGAGGGGAAAAAGAAAAGGAAAAAAGAATTTGGACTGTACAGTAAATACCGAGTGCTGCTCAGCTCAACTATGATGTGCTTACATGGTCACGACACGCACAGTTCCACGTGACTTCACTTTTTCTTCGACTCACTCGGGGTGTGTGTTTGGAAACAAATTTTCCGTGTTCATGAGCATGAATTCATTACTGCCTCTGTCTGGATCTCTCTCGTCTTTTGACATAATTGAATTTATAATTCCTCTCTCTCTCTCTTTCTCTCCCTCCTGCAGTCAAGCTTTTTGAAGTTATTGAGACCGAGAGGACACTCTACCTGGTAATGGAGTACGCCAGTGGAGGTGAGACATGGATGCAGTGGTTAGCAAAGTATCTCCAACATGTCAAACTTGTGAATGACAACCATTAGGATTGTAGCAGTAGCTGTAAGTGCAACATTTGGTTCAAGAGTTTGCTGCAGAAGTCCTTTTATGTTGCCATGCTCGAACTCCTGGATAATATTTGCCTGAAGTCGAGGTTCTGTCTTGACAGCTGGCAGATGCTGTGTGGTTTTTATTTTGCACGACACTTTAACTCACAACATGGTGAAATGGAAATGCCAGAACTTGCAAGTTCTGCGCTCACACTCTACGGCTCAGTCGACTGGTCGCCATGTGGTGCTCACTCTGAACACGAGCAACGAGCCCCCACTCACTTTGTCCACCGGCAATTCCAATAAAGTTTCTCTGTGATAGCGAAGAGAGTGCGAGGTCCTGTGACTTTGTGCTGTGTTAAAGCTGACATTGCAGTTCTGGTTTTAATGGATTCTTTGAAGTTGATTAAGAGTTTGTTATGGTTGTTGTAATTTATTTTATACTTCGAACTGGTCAGATTTGAACGAATCCTCAAAATGTAAGTAAATATGAACCATGTACTATTACACCCCCAGGCAGCCATTTAGTAAATATAATTGCATAATAAATTTTGGTTTTAAGCAAATGTTATGGTTTTATAATGCCAAGAACTTTAAGAATTTCCTAGACCCCCATGAAAATAAATAATTTGAAAAACAACTCCACTAACAGCTGCTGCACTCAAGACCACATATAGTTGGTAGAAATCTGCTCTCTGTGCTGCTCCCGAGAATAATTTATTAATGCCCAATGTGATAAATGTGCATGTTAATAATTAATATATCTTTGGAGCAGCATATCATCTGCAAACTGCACTTGTAGCTGAAAGGGGAAAAAAGGAACAAGATTACTTGTACAAAGAGCTCAACAACCGTTTTATACCATAGCCTGAGCTTTAACCTGACTTCTGCACGAAGTATACAGTAATGTGAAAAAGTCTTGAACCCTCATTCATGTCTATATATTTTGCTTCCAAGGACTTTTTTTGTAATTTGTTTTAAAGGTGGTCTTCAGGAATAGTTCTCTAAGCTTTCTATTGGTCTTTTATTTTCAGGCACTTTGTTACTAGCAGCCTGTCACCAAAACAGTCTTTTGCTGAATCTATGAAAAATGACAATCATAACACAGTTGGATCAGCATAAAATAGAGCTATCAGACAAATGTGGCATATCTCGGCATGGTGTGCATTGTACCTTTTTTGTCATAGAAATGTATATAAAACACGGCGGAGGCTGTGTCATGGTTTGGGGCTGCATTTCAGCCACTGGTGTTAAGGATCTTGTAAAATTGATGTAATTATGAATTCAAAAAAATACTGTCAGATTTTAATCCACCACATAGTGCCATCTGGAAAGCATCT